TGTAAAATGACTTTCAGGTTGTTACTTTAGCATACGTGTGGCGTGTGAGCAGTAAAGCGGCATTGAGAATGGTGACTCGATACTTAACGTGATTAGCAATCGGAACGATTGTTTTCTGCATGACTAAGCAACGCATTCAAAACCAGAACTTTGGTAAATTAATTGAGCTTTTAATCATTTGTTTAAATCCGATGTTCATCGGTGTTTATGATGTGCATCTGATAAGCGCGTTACTTGTCGTGATTGGTTCAGCGCCTGTCATAAATCGTGTAGTTGAAATCTTTTCGCAGACTGTTGAGAGTTCAGTATTTTACTGTAATCGATTTCTGGCATTTTGTAGAGTTGATATTTGGATATCTGGAGGTACCTATGAAAAGGGTAGTTTTCGACTATTTGTCATCGACTTGGAGATGTCCGTTCGCCACCTGCATCCGTGCGTACGGTGTCACGAAACATGACTGGGAGGCGGGCGAAATGCCCGTGTATGTCTACGGCAAAGGTAAAGGACGCAACCGCGTTTACGCATGGGGTTTGGCCGCCTCTGGGGCGCTTGGTGTCCGAGAGTTTCTCCAGCCGAAGACGCACAGCCGTATTCTGAAGCATACGTTCAAGCCATGCTTAGTTCCTTTCAGTGAAAAACACAAAGTAAGTTATCGGCCTTCGTAACGATGTATCAACCCCGACCATATAGTGTTTTTTCCCTTTAAACGTACTTAAACAGATAATGTAAATGATGATGTTTAAATGAGTGTTAACCGATGAAGAAGTGTCCTGTAATTCTTTGGCTGTAGATGAAAGTCAGATGATCTAATTCAAGCATTTTCGAACAGCCATCACATTGTCTATAGGTTATAATTAAAAGGGACCGTAAACGAATCGTTAAGTGATAATGCCAAGTTTAAAGTAGCAAGAATGTTATAAAGAAGTTGAAACTCGAAATGATTAAATTAATGAATTGCAAATGGAAAAGTTTCTACTATGCTATAGCAGAAAAGTTATTAAATTCCGTGTCCAAGCTATATTCAAACATATTTGTAAACGTTGTTTTGTTGGGGAGAACTTCGCAGCCGTTTTTTACTAGTACCATGTTTCAGTCACTGTCACGATCAGTGATAAAGATATCTGCTGTGTTAAATTCATGGCTAATGTTTAAGGAATGACTTACAATGATTGAATGTTCAAATCTAGACTCACGATGGCTCTAGAGTGTTTCTTTAATCGGTCCTTTAACACTGAGTATCTTCCCGACATCATCATTATTGTCAGCCTCAGGATGTTTACAGTCTTTTGGAACACGTTCTGTTGCCTGTTTGTCCAGCGATGGTGCGATCTCCTTGCAACGTCCCCTACCCAATGGGTTCAATGATAATTTTGAGCGAAAACAGGATTCTACAGACTATCAATATGAATGTTGCGATGCGATATTTATCTATGGTCTTCCGAATCTCGTAAAGTCCTGGAGATGAAAGCCAGAATTGATCTGTCGCAGGTTCTGTACGTGCAGGGATGGCGTTTACTGTGCTTCTAGATCCAGTTTATGCGACGAATGGTTGAGGTCTTTCAACAAGGTTCGCCATAACCGTATGGTTGTTTCGATGATTATGGAAGCTGTTTGGTCACTAAATCCCCGTTTGGTCAATGTTGCTGATCCGACAGATCGCAGAACTTAGGGATAAACTTTCAAAGATATCAGTGAATTTTTGTTGCGTATTAAGATCAGTTTTGTTGAATGGCTACAAACGTGCGCACTGTCGAGATGAACTGGCAGATAATTCCGGGAAACTACTGTAAAGACTTATGTTATGACAGCTTCTGCTGGTTTTTTGTCCTTTTCTACACCGTCTCGAAGATAACTGGCCGTATCGAGGTGCGGGGGGGGGATCGGGCAGAGATTAGAGTTCAGTTGTCTGATACGTATGCAAGAAAATGCGCAGAATTATCCTTCAGTTGTTATAACTCCGCATTTGCCAGTTTCAAGCCCAGTTAAGAAAAGAGGAGGTTTAGAAACCGTGGCGACGACTCCGTAAAAGTTCGCCACCTGCCACTCATGGAACTGACGCTATCGAAAATTATACCGGCTCGGTCGTCGCTCGGGTAACCAAGGGCCACGCAGGCTGTTGGGGGACTAAGGCAGACTGCGAAAAGTCGGCGATCAGAACCTGCTCATCGCCTTCTGCCAGCTGGGGACATAGCAGCACAACAACGGCTGAGAAAGACCGATGGAACGACGACGAAGATACCAGTCAGCAACGGAGTCGCTACCCGTTCTGGACGGAGGAGGCAGACAGCGCGA